GATGTATTCCCCCATGTGGCAGGGCTGTGTTTACAACTGAAGGTAATAGCAGGCGGTGGAGCGCTCAATAACAGATGGTGTTTGTAGGTGAGGTTCATTTATGTCACGGCATTTTCCAAAATGTTATGAAAATCGGAACGGTGTTACATCTTAACTAAGCGCACGCACAACAAAAGAGGAGAGGCATCACTGATAAGTCACAAGAGGGAGTGTTACTATACAGCAAATTAGAGGCACGTAAGTGGGCGCTCCTTGAAAAGGATCTTGACTTTGTAATCACATCAGATGTTATCAGGAGGAGATTTTAGGAAGGGTAAGTGCTCGGAAACTAAATCAGAGAGAAGCTGCCTGGGGAACACGTTGTTATCATAATTACCTGCTGAGCGACGACTGCAGGACTCGTGTTGATGTTGACGCCGAGCTGCCCTCTCCTCTATGCTGTCTTGTGTGGGCTGCTGCCTTCGACACATCTCTTTGTGCTCTGTTCTGTGTGTGTTTTCTATCTTTCTCTCTTCCCTCTCTTTTTTCTTCTCTCTCTCTCTCTCTCTCTATCTCTCTCTCCTTCAGCCAGAGAAACAGACTGCAGGGCCAAATATTGTTTTGGTGAGATCTGGCTCAGAGATTTAGGACGGACTTGCGTCAGTGTTTGCGTGCGGGCGCTGGCAGGATCCGATGCTGCTCCCTGGAACCTCGTCTTCTCCGTTTCAAACAACAACCTGCTCCTGCCGGCGCGCGGGGGCCCCTGCCTGCATGGGATTTTTTATTACAAATGATCTGTTTGAATGAAACGCAGCACCCGGGCCTCCTCGCTGTTGGCATTTAAGCTACAGGAAATAACAGATGATGATATCAGAGTGGGAGAGAGAGAGAGAGAGAGAGAGAGTGAAGGAGAGACCACTCAAGGAGGAGAAACACTTGACCTGTTTGTTTTGGGAAAATGGTATTCCTCCGCTAATTTCCTCCTGATAAGTATCTGACAGCTCTTAGTAAAGTGTTTTATCTTGGCTGGAGGGAAATGGCTTCTCTCACTCAGAGTGCCGATCGATTTCAGACACACTGCCGCTTTAAATTGCATTCTCTGTTTTTTTTTTTAGACTCCTTCTATTTGCATAGAGGTAATCAATTACATATATTAGCCTTTAAGCCTAACATGGACTTCTGGACTTCTTCCTTCCTTCCTTCCTTTTCTTCCTTTCTTACCTCCTCAGACTCTGCTGCAAATTCTCCCTCTTCCTTCTCCCCCCCCCCTAACATCATTGACTGCTGTTTGCCGTGTTGGGGGGCATTGATTTTTACTGCTCTGCCTCTCTCTCTGGTTTAACAGTTGATGAGTTGTGTAAAGACGCCCAGGGACAGCCCTGCCTGTTTTAAGGAGATGAGGTCGGCTTTTATAGCTCTCCTGCTTCCTCAACCTCAGACGATAAGGTGTGTGTATATGTGGAGACGTGCATGTGTGTTTGAGACTGTAGGATTCCCCACAGGAGGCTAAAGTAAACGCTGTGGTGTTAAGGGCTTTTAACAAGCAAACTCCGGCTTTGTCATATCCACCGTTTGGATCACTTTAAAGTCTTCGCGCAGAAAATTGGTTTACCTCCATCAATGAGCGGCCACATCATCAGATACGATTACCAGGATTGAAGAGAGCATGAAACATGAGACGAGCGGCTGGAGTGGAGAGAGTTTAGATTTAAAGGTGACAGGAATTTTGAGTCTCTCTGCAGCACCTATAACCACCCACATCCCACACACACACACACACACACACACACACACACACACACATGCTCACACATGCTCAGGAGTCAGTCAGAGATACAGACACAAACCTCATTTAACACGATTAGTTTCTTTGAGGATTTTACCGCAGCCTCTCATATCCGGGATGAAAGAGTTCACACTTCTGACAAGGAAAAAAAAAAAAAAGAAGAGCTGGAGTCTGCAGAAGCTAGCAGCAAGCACTCAGCCTTTCACTGCAATATTCACCACATTATTAAGGAGCACATTGCTTTGTGCTGTGTTGCTCTCAACACCATCTGTAGTGGTGCTGCTCAAGTGGTAGCAATTTTCTTCTAGTCTCGTGTCTCTCTCGCAGTATTACAAGTGAAACTCGATTGCAGATCTCGATGTTCTACTGCGTTTAGTTTCTCATAAACGTTCACATTCTTCAGTGATTGCCGCCTGCCAGCTTCCAATGTGCAGAGATGCACTGCTCTCTCAGTGTTTAGCTCTTTGAATCCTGAAATCAATTCAGCGTCGGAGAAAAATATTTGCCTTTGAACTGGAATCCAGTCCAAACTCTGCTTTTATTACACTATGTTGTCTTCCCCCCCCCAACCTTAAGAAGCTAAACATAGCTCTGGCACTTGGTTGCAAAATTACCTCACTTTAAAAAAAAAAAAAAATGCACTTGACTGAGAATCTGCTTTAATACAATAATTGGATTTTCAGGACTGAATGTATGGCCAACTTAACAATGTGATATTCTAATCTTTCTCTTAAAAACCTATAACCCTTACACACTGGCTGCACACACATTTTAAAGAGGGTCCATCGGTGCGTGTTATAACTGGGTAATATCAACCTAATAGGCTTACCTGTCAGCACTGTACGGGGACGTAGACCCCGTAAATCACATTTGTCTGCGACACCTGCTCGCCTCCCTGCGTATTTATGACTTTCTCCTCCGCCCTGTCCTCGTCTTTTTGGCCCGGGTCCAAAATCAACCCCCTCTTCCCACAATATGTGCCCCAGTGTGTTCCCTTCTCTTCATGGATTAAATGAATGAGCAGGTGTTCAGATGTAGGGGGGGGGGCACCACCCTCTGGTAAAACCAGCCATCTATTGTTTTGTAAATATCAAATTTGATATTTGATAGCAAGTCTCTAGTGCATGTTTTTAAAGTAAACATTAACATCCTGTCATTAATTACACTTGTGTCTGATATGTGAAAAATCACTCTGTCAAGCAGTAATCATCTTAATTTGATCATACATAGGGGTTTTGAAAGACAAAGATGTACTCCAAAAATCACTTGTGTAGTTCTTTGCACTTTTTATACCATCACATTTCTTCTACTTACCAATATTTGTACGTAAACGGATTTGTGTACCTGGCCAAAATTTCCTGGACTCTGATTAAAAAGTGCCAAAATATCCTGTAACTCTTGGAAAGTGGCCCACGAGGACCGCCTGAAGAAAAGGAGACCTGTTTTCACGAGTAGTAGAGATTGTACGTGACGTAACAATGGAAGAGAAAAGAGAGCGGTGCGTCTTTTACTGAGACTCTCCGTGCCAGGAGTCCTTACAATGAGACTCGAATAAAGGAAAGTCTCCCCACACTTTCCATTACGTTCATTGTAACACAATCAATTATGATGAATGAAATAAACAGATTGCTGTTTTTTTATTTTACTGACGTGTCTTTTGTGTTTGAGTGTGGGCGTGCCTGTCCCTTTAAGAGTGTATTGTCTCAATGGTTGTTTTAGCTTCAATTTTGCAAGGTGAGCATCCACTAGAGTGAGCTGCTATGGTAGAAAATGGAAATATATTCAAAGGGAATGAATTATCCCTCAAGTTGTTGATGACTCAAAGTCATACTCAAACTCAAAGGGATAGTTTGAAAAATGCTAGCATTAGCCGAAGAGTTACAGAACAAAATGTTATTTTGGTTTTTGTTTTACTGACTCGTGTTCTTTTTTTTTAAATTTAAAGTTATATTCATTTCTTTGAGGCCATTTTGGGCCAAGGTAACAAGCTGCAAATCAAACACTGACATGTTATCGCTCCATGAAGTTGTTGTGGCTAACGCCTTAGCAAACTGTTTTTTACCACCTGGTTAATCGAAAAGGCCGCTCTCTCTTTTTGCTCTGTTTTTGGTCTCCAGCAACTCCTGAGGGAAACATCTGACCCTGATCTGATCTGAGATATTCAGTGCACAGCTGAGTTCACCAAACACTCTGCCTGCACTACAGTACAACACACCACGTGATGGTTTGTGACGACATGTTCACAAATCGAGCTTCCACAATACTATCGGTGTTAATCAACACTCATGTACAGCTTTAACTTAACTGTGGATCCAAGGAGCAGCCATGTTGGATGTTACATTTTTGCTCTGACTTTGAGTTCTGATTTTAGGGGCGCTTCCTGATGATGCATCTGAATGGCAACTCCCAAGAATTGCCCACTCCCAAATTCAAATGGGCCGCACCACTAACAAATGAAATCGCATGCTCACATTGACGTTGCCATTTGTGCCCATGTTTAACATCGTAGTTTAGCTCGTCTGCATTCCTACCAAATGGGAATATAATGTTTCAAATTAATAATGGCACTAATGCCAACCGCGAGACTTAAAATGCGCAAGGGAAACGTTTGGAAAATCAGGATCACGGACTTATGTGTAATTTCATCACAGCTTCCTTAATGGGACTACAATTTACAAAACTTAAGTGCATTACAGATACCTAAGAGACAGAGCGACTGGTAGGCTAATCCCAGAATCGTTTGTGTGCTCCTGGCCTCCGCTGGATTTGTGTCGGCCTGTAAAGGGTGCAGCGAAGCAGTGAGGAGAGACTAAGAGAGGTGTATTAAGGCAGTGAATCTCGCCGCTGTGTGTGTAATGGACTCAGGATGAGGGCTGACCAAGAGCCAGGCTGCTGATAACCTTTAGGAAGGACATTGTTCCTGTGCAGTGGGGGGTGGGGTCGGGTGGGGAGCTGGAGAGGTGGGGGGGGATATACCGGACTGCTGCAGTACACAGGCACGGCAGCTTGATAGGTGGTGCAGTTGTTCATTGGTTCATTGGCTTTCCGGCAGGGTTAGGAGGTAGAGTAAATGGGGCAGTATAGCAAAGTCCCTCATGGCTTCCTGCATACATTTTTCAGCACCGGGGGTGTATTTCTCTGTGATACATTTGTCCTCTGTCTGAACCAGGTTCTCCCTGGCACTCCATTAAAAAGAAATTTAACAGCCATTTCTTCTGTCTTCCTTCCCCTTCAGATCACCGCTTAAGGAAGGGGTCAGCGAGGGACCGTGCGTGAGGAATACATGAAGGGCCAGGTGGGGGAGGGGGCGGCGACCACGGCACCAGTACCACCAAGGTCAAAGTTCACACAGGTAAACAGATTTGTCTTTTTTTTTTTTTTTTTTTTAAATCCACAGCTTGGTCATTGTGCTCGCTCTTTTTTTTCAAATTTCCAACTCAAAGCAGACTTGGCATGCATGTGTGAAGTGAGGGAGTAATGTGGCTGGTTTTGATTGGACCCTCCTGGGCTGGCGGCCTGGGAGGAACTGGAAACTGCAGCTGCTGTTTATGAGGAGCTGTGCAGGATCTCATTTGGCTTGAGAGTGAAAAAAACCCCAGCAAGTTCCTCATGGGAAGCTTGTGGCCAGTGTCAGTATGATGGGGATAGAACAACAAATATGATGCTATGATAGAAGATGCATTAGTTTTCTAAAAGCTTTAGAAACATTAGTTTTGTTTTTTTACACGGTGCAGATGCATCTCAGGGGAGATAGGATTTAAAGTATTTGAGACTTCATTGTAACCTAACTTTAACTTATTTCTAATGTGAATCTTAAGCAGAAAGAATCTAGCCTGCTTTATTGTCCGCGTCTGATTTTTCCGCAGAATTCTCACTGGCCTGATAATTTGTTAATAAATTGAATATCAGCACTGCACTATCCTCATGAAACATGAGCTTACCGTGAGCAAATACAAGAGTTCTGCACATTCTCTGAACCAGAAAAGTCAGTCGTTTTTAAAAAAAAGTAGATCCAGAATGGTGCAAAACTCTGCCACCTATCTCCATTTTCACTCACACCCTATTTTCTGCCTTTCCTCCTGTATTCTTTTGCTACCAGGGATTAAGGAGGATTGGGGGGGGCGTGTTGTGAGGCTGGGTGGGTGCAGATCCAGGAAGCAAATGGATAAATAAAGTGCTGGTTAATCTTTCTTAGTGTGTGTGTGTGTGTGTATGTGTGTGTGAACACTGAGCAATTGAACCAACCAGGGGGGAACATCTGCCTCGCACACAAACAAACACTCGCGCGTGCACACGCATACAGTGGCAGACACAGATACCGCTCATACACACATGCACGACTTGTGAGGATCAGCCAAAGTGATAAGCCCACGGACGTCACAGCACTGAAAGCGACAGGTTTACCACAGATACACACACAAATAGACCATCGGCAGAGTGACAAGTAGAGCAGAGTGAAAGAAAAAAAAAGAGACGCTGCCAGCAGACAGAACAGAGCTAAACAATGTGACAGCCCATGACTGCAGACACATGAAAGTATAGGAAGACAAGTTTTACTGCGCCTCTCTGCTGCTGTCGTACTGAAATCCCTCTCCCTCCCTTCCTCCCTCACATTAACACGTACGCAGCCTACAAATTTCTGATCAAACAACTGTGCAATTGAGGCAGAGTTTGGCCAGACAGCTAGCCGGGATGAGTAATGCAGAGCTCCAATGGTTTAATTTGTTTAGAAAGCCTATCATCGCTGCAAACATGTTACACACTGTTGCCGTTTACAGAGGAGCATTTTTTTCCTCCTGCAGTTTAATTGGACGCATTTTTAATGTTAGCAACACACAGTGTGAGCACTGTTGACACTGAACACTGTGGCCGTTGTGAGGCGATGGAGTTGAGATTGAGGGGAGAGGCGGAGTGTGAGTGTGGTGTGTCTGGTTATGAATAACACTACAGGAGAAGTTTTTGGGTTCTGTGTTTGGGGAACTGCTTTGCTTTTTTTTTTTACTTGTTTAGTCTACTTAAGGATATAGCTACACTTAAAGGCTATAGTGAAAATGTAGAAATCTCTGCAGCTGTGGTTTGGGCTGCTTGTGTTGCCTCCTGCTACGTTTTCTAATGCTGGTAGAAATGACTGAAGGCGAGGGTTGAAGACGACCTCAGTAAATTGTCTAAGATTGCCATCTCCACTGCAATCACTGCAAATAAAAGTAACATTAATATAACAGTACGGACGCTTCCCCTTGCGAATAAAGAGAACTCTCACACTATGTATCACAAAGTAACTAGAAAAAAAACAACAACAAAAAACTCAGTTATTGTGGGGATTCTGACACTGATCTGTATATCAACACTTGTAAAGAAGGTATTTAAAGCCAGACTCCTGTAAACCCTTTTGTCAAGTAACCCTCTCCCACCATCCTAAACCACTTGAGCATTTATCCCTTTATTTTTGCCTTGTGTACACACTAAGCTAGCAGCCGTTTGCACCTAAATATAGCCTTTTTGAACGTGGCATCCAGAGTGAACGATGGATGAACTCTGTTGCAAAGCGGTGACATAAACTCTTCCCTGACACAACCAAGTGTTGTTGTAGAAAGAAAAGCAACTCAATGGCCTTCTTTAGCAACAGCGCCGTAACGAAGCTTTACCTTCATTACCTTTTTGTACTTCTGTATTGATTCTGCAAGGGCGTAATGCAAGTGTCCCAATTGACATTGCGTTTAAGCGTGGCAGAAAGACGACTTGTGAACAAACAGTGGGAGCTCCGCATGCGCACACACACACACACACACACACACAAATGCTGTTCTCCCCTCCCCTTTTAGCTCCGCCCATCCCATCACACCCCTCTAACGCCTCTGGTACACCTCTGTTACCATACCTCATTATACCATACCAGACATTCATATCAAAGCTGAGACAACACAGGGACGTAAATGTAGCGCCTTGAATGGGCGCAATTGGGCAAATTTCTTTTAAACTCAATATGTGTTTTTGTTTTTTTTATTCTTCCTTTAGCTTTTATTGATTAGTTATGTCAAACTAGATCATGTTCTTCTAATAGCATGTTTATGGACTTTTCATCACAGCAGCACTTGAATTGCTGTTCAAAGTGTTCTTCCTTATGGGAAGCCGAGTCATGAGGCTGTAAGGTATCTGATCTTTACAAAGTTTGCTCATACAAAACATCTCTCCAAATAGCAGATGAGCTGTAGTAAAGGTGTTTTTGATAAATTGCTCAAGCATGCCGCTCAGAGAACTAGCATCCCATTCAGTGGCTGCTTTTTTTGTGTGCTTCGTTTCCCCCCCCCCACAGTTTTCAGTCTGGCCCTTTAACTTAGGGGTTAAGTTTGTTTTTTGTTCTGTTCCACCTTTCTTTCCATCTTTTTCCTCTCTGGAGTGAAGTTCTTCTAATGTATATGTGTTCATGTGATGAGCATGAGCACACTGTCCTTGGTGTCTGTTGTGTCTGTGGATTTAACTGTATGTATGTGCAGAGGTGTAGAGACATAAATGAAGACGGCATGAGAGAAAAAGTCCAATCAAGGCTCTTATTCTTTGAGGAATTTCACCTCAGGGCTCTGCAGCTTAGGAGACTGTGATGATATTCAAAAACAGGAATGTGTATTTATATCCTTGCTGGTTATACTCATTGTGCTCACCGTCTTACAGACCATTTTTCACACACACAAGCTGGCCCTTTTTTTTTTTTTTTTTGGATTGTGAGCTGCAAGAGGCATCTCACAAACAGGCAGAGGTATAAAGTGGTGAGAGTGGGAGGATGAGAGAGAACATTGTCTTCTCTTTCCCAGCTTAGGGACAGAGCAGAACAGGTTGTGTGAGGATACTTGCTATCCTTAACAACGTCTAACACAGCCTCAGGGCCACCTCTACCTCTCTGATGCAGCTGAGACTTGTGTTGTGCAGAGGAGTTGGAATATGTGCAACACATTCCTCAGTGTCAGATGGCATTCCTTGTACACTGTAATTACCCGAGTAACACTTTTACTTTGTCATGTTTTAACAAATTCAGTGCAATAACTTAGATAAACGTCTTGTGATGGTTTTCCTTAAAAGATTGCGCCGACTGGTTTTCCTGTTATAAAATGATGACTCATAGCTAATAAGTAATACACTGGATTGATGTGCAACCAAAATAGATCATGGCAGGATGCATAAAGGAGGTTTGTTTTTCTTACATGTTATTCTGAATTCATTGTCCTCCCGTCCTTCCTGTCATAGTGGAGGTGGAAATCAGTTGCGAGGTTTTGTCCCTCGTTTTCTGCATTATTTATTAGACATTTTCATCTCCAAAGACATGCTCGTTAGGTCAAATTGGTGATTCTAAATTGCCCAAACTCAGATTATGCATTCGTAAATCTAAGTGGACAAATAAACGAGCACAAAATCAACATCTTGAGATAAACAAATTTCACCATCTAGCCGTAGACATGAAGCTAGCGTGACACATGGTTAAACCGAGGCTTAAGCTTCCCATAGACAGCCAGGACATGTTTATGAGACAGAAGCTGTTTTCACACATGCACTCCTGAAAGTTTTTCTAGATATTTCCAAGAAGGAACTGCGATACATTTTCAGGAAGAATTGCCCCGGAAATCTTCCCGAGTTGCTTATTCACAGCGTTAAGCTTTCCCTGTAGCACATGAGCGGGGTTTTAAAAAAGAAGCCGCAGAAATCCAAGCTGTTGAATAAAATGAAAGAGTGTCACTCTGAGACAGTTATTTCACCTTTATTTGTCATTGAATGTATTCATATCATCTATAAACAGGTGGAAAATAACATTACAGTGAGTAGAAAAGAGTATGAAGCTGCTTTTATTACATGCGCGGGGATCACACTGGTTGTGCACCTGTCTCATGTTAAAAATGTCATATTACATGCCCACTCACAGTGGATTTTCCTGGAAATGTCCTGCTGCGCTCACACTTATCGACGCATTCCAACTTCACCCATGAAATTTGACCAGGGGGCTGGCAAAAGTCTGATTCTAGCATGGGTGAAAAATTCAGCTGTTTGCGTTCACAAATGCAGCTCACCCTGCACATATGGGACATTTTCAGGAGTTTTGTGCATGTGTGAAAACACAGAGAGAATGAAATGGTCGATCATCCTTAGTGCAGTCCGTAGGAAGTTAATTGATGAAATTCAGACTTTTCAGTCATTGTCAAATAATGTCTGAAAATAGAAGGAAATAATCAAGGGACCAGAACCCCGGACAGACAATAATAACATGGTGCTGCTGAGGACAGCGAAATGCCACGTTGTCATGAAAGAAGAGGCAAAGGCAGAAACAGTCAGATGATAATGCAGTTTTTAAACCAAACCCAGAGAATC